CTACGGGATGTTGTGGAGTGGTGAATACGAGTATTTGTACAGCGCCAATAAACGGTAAACGTATACAGTAACGATTTTTCTGATTATAAAAAATTATTTTCATGAGAAAACAATACGCAGAGTATACTTCTACCTTTTCTGTTTTTGTACAAAGAGTAAGACTTCGCATCAGTAACAACATTTATCTACATATTAGGCTGCAAGTCCTCAAAATCAACAACCACGCTTCAGTAGTATTTCTTGTTTGGAATTGAGTAATAGATGTCTATGAGCTGCAACAGTCGCCCATTATCAGATCACCACCGTTAATCTTTTGTCACTTCAATTATATCGCAAAAATTAAATGTTCAACAAGTGTTCAACACGGGGGACGTTTTATCGAGGCTATAATGATCGACTAATTGCCGAAAATTCATCCCAAATAAGGCATACACAAATTCTGCAGAGTATTGATTAGAAGAAGCCGAAAATTTGTACCGGAGATTGACAATAGGTGTTCTAGACTGAACCAAGCGGTGAACTTAATTATGCGCTGTTAATTATAACTAAAACAAAATGACTGACGTGGCACGTGACAGGCTTTGGACAATGCACTTGCTATGAACTAATTTATTATATGTAGCCGATAGTTTTACACAAGAACAAAATATGAGCTGCTAGGAAAAGGACACAGCGAAGAAATAAAGGCAGCTCATTTAATTGAAAAATGCATTCTCATTGCAAGGGTATCTGCGATTGTTTTAAAAATACCCGCTGGTGTACTTACGGAAAAGCTATGTCCGAGGTAGCTTAGAGACTAATCGCTCGCCGTTATTTTTACGATACTCGAGTACATTCGATTTGACTCCACCGGCACTGATGAAATTCGTCTCAACGATGAAGAAAAGTGTCTTGAGAAAATCTTAATGTCTGATGAATACTACAGACACTGTAGCAGCGCGGCAAACTAATTGTCTCATGACACTCAGAAGTAAGAGGAAGCATGTTCCTAGCAATGGCACGTATATATGCATATGCTATTTTACACGCCCAGCATACAACACACAATGTACCATATTTTTTATAAAACAAAGGTGACAAACGAGCACACAGACCATCTGACGTTAAGTGAATGCTATGGCCTATAGATATCAACATTTTATCCTCGATTAAGAATCAAAATGCAGCTGCGTTGTCAACCCTGAGGACTAAAATGGTAATTTTATACGCGGTAAATTTTATACGTGGTAGAGCCATGCTGCAGTTATATTACTAGTATAGTTGTAGCACGAATGGGTCGGCTCGACCGGGGAAGGACCACGCTTTCACAGAATACCAGCGTGAAATAGTAGCTTAATGCTGCTGTATTTCGTATGGTGAGTGTAGAGAACCGGAGACCCTTTTTACTGGAAACGAGGCATTCCATCTCAGTCCTCACGGGTGACAACGCATCTGCATTTTGATTTTTAATGGAGGATAGATGTAGACGTCTATGGGCCGCAGCAACCACTTACCATCAGGTGGACTGTGTGCTGGTTTGTCACCCTACTCTATAAAAAAAAAAACTAAAATGGAATGCCTTGTTTCCAGTAAAAAGGTCATCCAGTTCTCTACACTCATCATAACATCGTAACACAGTGGCATTGAGCTGCTATTTTACGCTAGTATTTCTGAAGAGTGTGGTCCTTCCTCGAATCGGTCGACCCATTTGGACACTACTTATATTTTGTACTCTACCACGTGAAAGTATTTTGCTGCAACGTTTTAATAAGAATTATAACAACTGAAACTGTTATTGTGGGCCAGTCCCGTATAATCCGTGACGTTTGACCGATTTACGAATCGAAAATATTTCGATACTGTCGAACCCAGACGTTTTACGATGTGTCGTAATTCAATTGATTACACGCATTACGTGGTCGCGTGGCTTCGAATTCGCCATGAAATCACAAATTAGCCGTGAAACAGACATGTAATGTACCAATACTTGAGTGATTGTGTTAGCTATTAAAGTGATAGTGAACAATGATAAAGTGATAACTTAACTACCCGCTTTTTTACTTTCTTCTGTATATTTTTGGGTTTGCAACATTTGCTGTCTTCTTGACATGATTAACCTATTAGAAAAACTTGCAGATTATCTACAACCCGCTAAGCATAGAAAATGAGTGTTAGTGAAATGAAATTAAGTAGTTTAATCGTATGATAATCGTAAAGGCATTTCATATAGATACATAAATTACACCGGGAAAAGTTTTTTCCGCGCGGGATTCAGACCTACGGCGCAAGCTCTAGCTTATGTAGAACAGTTGATTTTAAGTAAACCACGCCGACATAACTCTTAATAAAATTGAAATATGTTACTATAGTAGATGCAACACTATTGTAATTACTTACTCCTTGGATTCCGCGTAACATCAGCGATTAATTGATCATTTAATTACTAGTTCTTATTTAAATATGAACGTAAATAGTGGATTACTGCAAGTCTCTTGGATCTTCAACACAGTTTTAACAACAGGTCCTCAAAGTAAACAGTAGAAAGTTAACAAAACATAACCGATGATTAAGCACTTTGTCGCTACTCCTCGCCGGCGCGGCGACGGGTTTAGCACCTAACTGCCAGTTATAATATAACCATATATGGTTAACCGTAAATCCCTTTCACCGGTTAGTTTAACGCTTAATGCAGTAAGCGTTAATTTATAGGACTCTAAGCGCAGGTTTTATATTAGTCACGAGGATTTCAATATTTTAAAACAAATCATTGCTTATCGAATTTGAAAGCATAAATATCATTTCAACGTGGTAGAGCCATGCTACAGCTTTCTTATGGTTGTCACACGAATGGGCTGACTCGACCAGGGAAGGACCACGCTTTCATAGAATACCTGCGCAAGAGTGTTTCACAAGGTGAATGTAGAGAACCGTAGACCATTTTAACTGAACATCGGACTACGAGTAAGAGAACATGAGATAGAGATAGAGATTCTATCCTGTTCAAATGGCTAGTCTGTGTTGAGACTAACTGCCCTAGCTGAAATTTTCCCTGAAGAACGTTATTACTAAAAAGAGCTCAGCGGAATCTTTTCTGCTTTGAAATTCTCCAATTTTTTTTAGAATTTAAGGGTGACATACGAGCACACAGTCCACCTAATGTTAAGTGGATGGTATGGCCCATAGAAATTTACATTAATCTTTAATTAAAATCAAAATACAGATGCGTTGCCAGCTCTGAGGACTGGAATGGAACGCCTAGTTTCCAGAAAAAAGGGTCTCCGGTTCTCTACACTCACCATACGAAACACATCGCCATTAAGATGCTATTTTACGCTGGTATTCTGTGAGAGCATGGTCCTACCCCGGTCTGGCCGACCCATTCGTGCTGCAACCACAATATAGCCGCCGCATGGCTCTGCCACGTAAAAACGAGAGAAGACCTAGCTGTGGAACATACTCGTATGTCATTGTCAACTTTTACTTTACAACCACTTGCATAAGAGAAAGTGTTTGAATATTATTGTTCATAATCAAGCAATTTAGTCGTTTGTTTGTTAGTCGTGCCGCTAAGGTATTTGTTGAAACAAGCCGCCGGAGTAAACGGCAGTTACTATACGCCCGAAGCAGTTACAACTTTGAATACACCAGCATTTGCTCCTACAATAGCACGTAATGCGTAGCTCAGGGACTAGGTTATTGCCTCAAATTTTATAGCACCTAAACAATCCGATTTCGATTTCCTTTCATGCTTTTAGTGTTGACTGTCTGACTTAACTCGTCATCAGGATTGAGGGAAAACACCCGTGCTTTGTTTGTGATAAGACAACCCAACATGATGGACAAAGATCGGGATGGGGATCATGAAAGAAGACAGCAGCGAACTCGATCCATCCATTTCGCGGTCTCTAGCTAGGGGACGTCGGTATCCACACCGACGAAAGATGGAGATCCCCTTCGGCAGTTTCTACTACATCCTTCGTGTCAAAATCTTAAAAACGATTGGCGAGCTTTTTGTATTAAGACACCACCAGCCACCACACCGCACGGATAACCGCATTTCGTGGGCGTCGTAATAGACGGCTACTATGGGATAAGCCAAAAATGTATATGGCTTCCGATATAAGGCGATACGAGTATAACCATGTCTTTACGCCAGGTCTATAACACATTGAAAGAGATTAATTTTACGGAAATTCAACACGATAAAGTCTGTAAAATAAGTTTTATTCAAATAGTGGTACCATCACCTCATTTCGCCAATTGGCGTAAAATACCCGGGCGGCAACAGACATCAGACAACAATGTCAAAGATGAAGACGATCTGGTTATGCGAATGTCTATCGTCCTCGGCGTGACGATCACAAGTTTTTTTTATTAATCAAGCTTTTATATATGAACATAAGATTGTTTTTGCCTTGTTCTTGGTATTGTTCTTGATATTGCTAGCAATAAAACTTGATAATAAGTGTAAAATATTTATTTTGACCACTTGTTTCATACGTGATAGAGCCACACTGCAACAATATTTTGGTTGTAGCACGAATGTGTCGGCTCGACCGGGAAAGAACCACGCTCTCAAAGGATACCAGCGTAAAATAACAGCTTAATACTGCTGTGTTTCGTATGGTGAGTGCAGAGATCCGGAGAATCTTTTTTATTGGAAACGAGGCATTCCATCTTAGTTATCAGGGGTGACAACGTATCTGCGTTTTGATTCTTAATCGATGATAAATGCCACATCATGCACTTACCATTAGGTGGACGGTGTGCTGGTTTGTAACACTTATTCTATGAAAAGAAATAAATGATACATGCACACAAATAATGTATGTCGGGAACTAACTTGAAATACGGTCTACGTACAAAATGTACTTCGTACATGACCTCTGACGCCTGTTGTTATTATAACAGCAATTTCTTCGCAGCACTGATTGTGAATATTACACTCTTAAATTTTTTTAGATAGGTACTTGAAGTTTATTCCATTAATATTAATAAATTTTACTTTTTTTTTGTTGCAGGTGAAAGAAAAAAGCAACCGAGAAGATCTGAAAACCGATATACAACACAGGAAAGAAACATTTTACAGGGTTTGTAAAATTATTTTACTTAACCAATTTTACCCTAATACGTCGTAGTTAGTGTCACCTTGACTGCTACATTCCTTTTGACACTAAACTACACAAGACGTAGTGCATTATCATCATCAATAGTAAATTATAAATCCACGCTTTAATTTGGACTTGTAACCGCCATTTCGAGTAGGGGCGGCGTAATAATATCCAATACCCTCGTCCTAAGGGTCCCGAGTATCGCCCTGAGTAAATAAGAGTCGACATAGGGAAACATTAAACCAGGAGATGGACAGCAACATCTCTCTGATAAAACCCCAAAATAAAAAAAAATACGTGGTAGAGCCACGCTGCAGCTATATTATGGTTGTAGCACAAATGGGTCGGCTCCACCGGAGAAGGACCACGCTCTAACAGAACACCAGCGTAAAATAGTGGCTTAGTACTGCTGTGTTTCGTATGGTGAGTGCAGAGATCCGGAGATCTTTTTTACTAGAAATCAGGCCTTCCATGTTATTCCTCAGGGGTGACAACGCATCTGCGTTTTGATTCTTAATCGAGGATGTAGATGTCTATGGGCCATGGCATCCACTTACCATCAGGTGGACTGTGTACTTATTTGTCACCCTTATTCTATAAAAAAAATCACACGCGCGCCAAGCGTGGCAAATATGGCCAAATCCCCTCAATGAGGTTATTTACGGGGGAGGCATATGTTCAACAGTAAACTTTTAATGAATTGATGGCTAAGTCCACTACTTTTCATTGGCCACCCTCATATTCTTAGAAAGTACAGTTCTGATTAATTGACTTTCTGCATGATTAATTAAGTCGTCAGTAAAGAATCACCCAACATTGCAGCTGTGCTTGCCATCACAAGACACTCGAGAACTTTCTTGCCCATCGGTTGTTGTTCCTCCAACTATAATAAGTCCATTGCCACTTCAGTTGTGTTCACTGTTCATTGTTCACTGATCTGTTCACGCCATGGCTTGTAAATAATAGTTGTGATTGTTTCAGGAGGCCCCTTCAGACGAGGACTCGGCGGTGTCCTCTGCGCCCGCCTCTCTTTCACCACAGCCGCTCAGCGACATGTGGGTTAGTATACAAATGAAAGTGCATTAAAATTGCAGAATTAAAATAATTGACAAAAATTTTAGTTAACTGGGACATAAATATAAAAAAATTATTAAGATATTTTTTCTTAAACTTTTTGTCTTTATTTCTTCTTTTACTATAACCTATGTTAATCCACTGCTGATTATTGGCCTGTTTGAAAATATGCTACTAGTTGATTTCAAAGCATTGTCCAATACGCACTATGGTATTGGACAATGCTTTGAAATCACTATACCATACAAATCACTATAGCATACAAACACTGTTCTGTATGTTCTGTACAGGATTTGAAGCCTGGGCCTCACAGTTCCGTAGTCAAGTTTTGTGCACTGCGTTACTTCTTACTCTACGGGTGTGTTCCAATATACACTGTGACTACAGTTAGGTGTAACGTCAATTCAGTATACTATGAAGCCGTTTCCGTACTGCGGCAGTATACTGGTGGTCCATTAAAAAAACGAATTTTCCACCATTAAGAGTACCGATCAGTGCTCGCAGTGTATATCGTTACACGTGGTAGAGCTGCTGCAGCTATATTACGATTGTAGCACGAATGGGTCGGCTCGACCGGGGTAGGACCACGCTCTCACAGAATACCAGCATAAAATAGCAGCTTAATATTGCTGTGTTTTGTATGGTGAGTGTAGAAAACCGGAGATCCGTTTTATTGGAATCGAGGCATTCCATCTTAGTCCTCAAGGGTGACAACGCATCTATATTTTGATTCTTAATCGAGGTTAAATGGCCACAGCATCCACTTACCATGAGGTGGACTGTGTGCTCGTTTGTCACCCTTATCCTATAAAAAAACACGACCTATATCTGTCATGACGTATTATTTTCTTCAGTTTCATAATATTCTTAATAGCAGGAGCCTTAATGCTGAGTTTGCATTATCTGTTGTTTTTTTACTAATAGACTGGGATTTGACGACAGCAGCCAAGTCTGATAAATTTATATAAAAAACTAGCTTACCAGGCAGACGTTGTTCTGCCCTTCGACCATCCTTTGTCATGTCCTATTAAAAATTCTTAAATTCGCAAAAAAATTGTGGGTACATGGGAAAAAAAACTATCCTATCTCTCCAGTTGGACCAAACTGCACACGGTGTGCAAATTTGATTAAAATCGATTCAGTAGTTTAGGAGTCCATCGCGGACAAACAACGTGACACGTAATTTATACTATATATATATATATATATATATATATATATATATATATATATATTAAATTGAAGCGTTTGTAATGTTGAAATTGTTGAAATAACTGCCTTTTATTGAGCTGAGGGGTTATTTGCATGCCATTAAGACGTGAATAACTATTTTTTGTAATGGACCTCTTGGCGAACTAATAGAGAGCCATACCAGGAGTGAAGTAGGCTCTATTTTATCCGAAAAACTTAGTTTTTTTTTGAGAAATCGAATAATTGGTAAAATAATTCATAACGCCACATTAATATATCGTACCTACGCAAAGCCAGGACTAGCGCTAGCTAGCTAGTATTCCATTAAAAAAAACATAGCTACGCATATCTTTTGCCGTCTTTGTCAGGTTAGCATTACCTGCAAGAAATGCATTGTCAGCAAAACGTTTCTTTACGTCGGCCTTCAATCATTGTGTGCGCATCTCATTATTTTATTGCTAAAATGTCAGGCAGTATTGCAGTGCAAACACGTTGTCACCTATATAGTAGGTTAGTAAGCGATTGGTGCCTGTATCTTGCGTCACACGCGTTGTGTTCCATTGTTGTGTACGGTATCCATGTTGGATTGTCTTTTTATTGAGACTCACGTGTGATGTGCTTGTGAGAGCCGTGGTAGCTCAGATGGTTAGCGCTCGCTGTAAATTTCACAGTACGCGAGCAAACCGGGTTCGATCCCCGCCGGCATCAATGAAATTGTTAATTACAATTTTAAATGCTGATTTACCACGTGCTTGGCGTTAAAAAGTTCCACGTTACGCTAAAAATAGCTATATTCAATCAGCTACTTACTTTAGCTACTCGCTGATATCTTGCTGCCAAGAAAAACGACTAGAGGTCTAGCATTTCGAGCTGAATATCTTGCTGCTAGCAAAAAGCCTCTGGCAATTCCAGCTGAAAAAAAGGAAAAACTATCAAGCGCGGTCCCCCACTATTTTGTACCGTCTAAAGTAAATTCATGGCCACTTTATTGACTTTGTCCGCCATCCACAGTCGTGCGGTGAGTGCCGCTCGGCGGCGGAGCGCGCGGCCGCGGCGACGCGCGAGTGCACGCGGCTCGCCGACGCGCTGCGAGACGCGCGCGACCAACTCGAGCTCATGGAGTTCCGACTGCTTGAGTTGGAGGACGCACATCCCGAGAAGGTCGGTACTCATTTCTTATTTACGTTAAATAACCGTTCAATTTAATTTATCGAATGGCTCTATAGAGTTACGTCACTAATATTATCAGAATATCTGTCGATATTAGTGATGTAATTACGCCATCTCTAATATTTGCCTTTGGTCGTTTTCTTATATTTCCGTGTTTTAATAACTGTTTAAAATAGTTTTTTTTGTAATTTTATTGTGGAAAAATGTGATTTTGTGACATTACAAATGAAGCCTTTTAAAATTAAGGTGTGTCTTATTCGCTTATAATAGGTGGTATGCAGTTTCTGAACGGATATAAAAGGCGCGCAATAATACGTAATTATTAAGGTCCTTGTTTGTTACAATTTACTGCTTAGCCTCACTTAAACTAGAGTATTTAAGCAATATCATACGTAGATATTACTTGGAGTGTAGCAGTACAAAGCTTTACTAATATACCTATTATATAAGAATATATTATGTATATTGTAGCAGATATTAAGAAATACGTTATATCTAAAAATACGTTATTCCTTTTACACTTAAATCCAATGGTATTAGATCAAAAAGAAAAAAAGAAAAAGAGTTTATTATAAAATTCTCCAACTTTAAGGTAATTTTCGTGATTACTTTTAACTTTTAATCTTATTTTTCCTTTTGCTCTATTTATTTTATGTTTCTACCTCTATCATCTCTAATGCTTTACACCACCCATGTAACCAGACAGATATAAGGTAAAAATAACGTTTTAATCACGTTAATTTTACCTTTTTATCTCTCTACTTGTAAAATTAAATTCATTCAATGTCATCATCAAGAATTTGTAGTTATCTGTTGATAGTTACCACCAAATCCGGGCAGCAACAAACTCAAATAATCGTTATTAGAGTAAAGCCTAAATAATATTTTAAATTCTTTTTTTATCAATGTTCCATTTCATCCAGCACTTACAAGCTCAAGTTGCTCAAGTCACAAGTGTCACTCACACGCAAGCCTTATGGAATGTGAATAGAGATGGGATCGTATTTAATTCTGATACATATCTATCGATATGTTTATATACTCGTTATATATATATATATATATATATATATATATATATATATATATATATATATATATATATATATATATATATATATAGTTTTTTTTAAATATCTATATTTAAAACAATGATAGCCTATATGATAGTTAATATCAAATTTATAGTGGATATAAAAGAATATTAGTGCCTATTGATGAAAAAAAAATATTTCACATCATTTTGTGCGTTTGTAATTTCTACTTTTCTTTTCTAAAATTATTTTTGCTAGTCAATTCAGTTAGATTTAATCTTCTTTCGTAGAATAAGCTTCTATTGGGCAATGTTTTGAACATAACTTCTCAGAAGGCTTTATTTTAGTTCTAAAGACGCCCATACGCATATATCTTTTTTAAATTAAGCATAAAGGTGTTCGATAAATTTTAACTACAACAACAACAACAACAACATATTTCCGAATGTTGTAAATTGCGGATGAGATATTGCAATAACTCCAATACACATAAAGACGCATTCGATACCCGCTCTTTTCTTTCTTTTTTATAGGATAGGGTGACAAACGAGCACACAGTCCATCTGTGATTATAAGTGGTTGCTGGTGCCCATAGACATCTCGTGACTCGTGTCCCGTGAGGACAAGATGGAATGCCTCGTTTTCAGTAAAATGGGTTTTCGGTTCAAGTACCATACGAACCACAGCAATGTTGAGCTGCTACGAGTATTTAACGTTCAATTCAGTTCAATTCAATTCAATTTATTTGCTAATCTTGTTGTATACATATGGTCTTAATTATAAAAATAGTTTCAAACAAGAACCTTGCAAGGGCACTGCCAATATCGGCAATCATTATTATTATTATTACATTTGCATTATGGTATTATTAATAAAGTTATCAAGTAATGAATATTTACAATTAACTTAAATAATAACGAGATCATACTATATTATATATTCCTATTTCATTTGCATAGGGGCAGTGTTTACGATATGTAATTTTGATGTAAATGTGGATAGTTTTAATTTTGGTCTTAAATTTTTAGGGCGAAAATATTGACGGAACCATTCGATATTATTTCTAACTAGTGAGCATATTTCAGACATATATAGGAGTATTAATGTCAGAATATTATAATTAATAAAGTAATTTCTACAGCTTTTCATTGAGTCAATATTTGCAAGTATGCGAATACATTTTTTCTGAATGAGAAATACTCTATCAGCGTCTGTGCTGTTACCCCAAAGTACCACACCGTAGCGTATCCAGGCGTCTGCGTACGCGTAGCAGGCACAGGTTGCTGTTTTTAAGTCGGTGGTTTTTTAAGTTCTATAAGAGCGTATGTAAAACTAGATAACTTTTTGACAACTTTATTGATGTGTTCCTTCCAATTTAAATGTACATCTATATTTATACCTAGGAGACAATAAGAATTAACAGATTCTACGGGAATATTAAGGTATTGGTAGTTGATATGTATGGGGCGTTTTGGCGAGGTTGTGATCTTGAGGCCAGCAACTTATTACATTTAAAGTACAGGTTAGGAGATGATGTTATTAATTATTCTGTGGGAGCGTGGTCCTTCCCCGTTCGAGCCGACCCGTTCGTGCTATAACTACACTACTAATATAGCAGCAAGGCTCTACCACGTTTAAAATTTATGATAATGTTAATTGCAGTTTATGAGACAAATAATTGATGTTTAAGACTCACAAAAATATCAAATATTGTTTAATTAAATTTTAAAGTAGAATATTATTTCTTCGCTGTACAAGTTCTTAACGTATCATAAATCACAACCGCTTTTGCTGTTAACTGGGTCAGAGTAAAACTAATTGTATTAAGTTAAGTAGACGCAATGCTGCCCGGAGCTGATCCAGTCTTAGATCAATGCCAAGGGTCAGTTCATAAGCGTTACGTTATCTAGGCAGTGACGTCTAAAGGCTTTAGAAAGGAGATTTTAATCGCATTTGTTAAAACTAATAGCGCTGCCTACCTTCATCGAAAATTATTTATTAGTATAATTCTTATCAAAATATTAAGCACCTAAACTAGCGGCTCCAACTGTTGAGTTCGTGGTTTAAATATCCATCGTGTGTCAATATTTTTACAAAGTAAGATACGTGAGGATAATATGGTCACCTTAATCTTTGCCGCCTTATAAAACAAAAACTAAGAGGAGGACAGAGACAAAAACACAAAGTCGTATACTATAACTAATATATTAAGAATGAAATAGCAAACGAGCCTTGGCAATAATTATGAACACATCGAAAAATTAATTAAAAAAAACTTACTACACTACACCATACTAAAATATTTACTATACTATCAACTGTCAAAATGGCGTTGATAAGGCAGCACCCTTTTGACCCTTTATTATTCATTTGAACGATGAAGAGCTATCGTATCACAAAGAAAGAAAGAATATGTAAACAAGGCTGTAGTTTTAGAGTTATAAAAAAGTGACCATATTAACCGGATGACCATATTACCCGGATGATCATATTAACCGGATGACCATATTACCCGGATGACTATATTACCCGGATGACCATATTAACCGGATGACTAACCGAATCAACATGACCATATAACATACCATTAACCGTGACCATATTAACCTTACGTACTATATTTTAAATCAATAATTAGAAATAAAATCTTGTAATAATCTCGAAACAGGAAAAAAACAACGAACTACAACATTCTACTAGCTGTATGTCGACTACGTAAATAGCATATAAAAATTATGTAGCATTTGAACTATATGTGTATTTATATAATGGAATTATATGATGTCATTAAGAATTGAGATTGTACCGTAGACTTATTTATACACAAAAGGCTTGGTCACGAAATGTATAAAACCGTACGAGTGGGTTGACATTTAGCAACAATGTCCATAACAAATGTGACTCGGTGTTTGTTTGTCGTGGAAACAAATGACGTTTCCTCATTAGGAGAGTGATCTTTGTCATTATGATGCGGGCAAATGTCTCGCGAACACATCTGACGTAACAACTTGTGTAGGAGTTGACTTACGCTGGCTTGCATGTTCTATTGAGGCACGCGTCTGATGCTGCGAAGGTCGCGTCGCTTAGTATACAGAGGAAAGGTTATTTCCACAAGGTTTTGGAATCGCACTTTGTTGTTTTATTTGTGTAGTTTTTTTTAAATATAATTTAAATATAGATTTATACGTGTTAGAGCCACGCTAAGCAATATCATAGTTTTAGCACGAATTTAGGACGACGCACTCACAGAATACCAGCGTAAAATAGCAGCTTAATACAGCTGTGTTTCGTATGATGAGTCTTTTATCAGGAAACCCTTTTTACTGGAAAAGTGTCCTTCCATGTTACTCATCAGTGGTGACAACACATCTGCATTTGGATTCTTAATCGAGGATAAATGTAGATGTCTGGGCTACAGCATCCACTTACCACCAGGTAGACAGGTGTGTTCGTTTGTCACCCTTATTCTATAAAAGCTATGGAAATAATTATAAGTTAAAAATGGAAACCATTTTTTTCAAGTCACTAGCTCATCGGGAAGTTCAATTGAGAAGTTTCAAGTCACTAACACATCGGAAAGTTAGTTTAAAATCAATTGCGAATTTCGTACCGAACAGACAAGAAAGCTGATAAAAACGTGGTAGAAATACAAATCAATATAAACAACACAAATCTACAAACGGTCTTTTGCGTAGTTCACTTTTCAGCTAGTATCACCAAAAACAAATAAATGCGGAACATGTGAAATAATTACAATTTATAGATCCGGTATAATTATAGGCTGAGGGGCATTCTAAGTTAGTTGCAAGTGGTGACGACGCATCTGTTGCCTGCTTTGTTTAAAGTTGATTGTAGGTGATCATAGAATGCAGTACCACTTACAATCAGCTGGATTGTAAAATTACTGTTCACTTTAATACCTATGTCTAATGTGATAATGCTCCTGCATCTTGATTC